CTCACCTTGTTTCATTTGCAACAGACACACAATCACAGTGATAAAGTAAGGGAGAATGTAACATGTGACACATGGGGCAGCAATCTTTTCCCATACTGCTTTTCACCCACCGAGCAGAACCATTTGGGTGGTGTCCTTTACACAGGAGAAGGGATGGAATGTTTGAACTGGAGGTTCAGGGGCAGTTGGGGAGTGACAGTTGGAGAAGAGAGGGCCAGATGAAAGAGCAGCATACCCCTAAGAGGACAGGCAGGCAGGGGACGTAACAGGAAGTGGTAACTTGTGAGAGAAGCGTGTCAGGGGCAGGAAAGCAAATTAGAAATAAAAAAGGGATTAGGCAAAAGAAGAAACCAACTGAACCAGAGGGAAAGTGAGAGGCGAGAAAGTGTTAGTGAAAGGCAGACATCCACCCAAAAAAGTGAGCTAGTGTCTGCCTATTGCACTGCACTGACTGTAGGAATAGACTTCTAAGGACCCATAGACAGAGGGATCTATAGACAGAGAAATTAGGGATTGGGTCCCATTCTCTTAGCCGTGGTTCTAACTTTCAAATTCCCATACCATCTTCAGAGCTGGGATCACATTTTTTGAGAGCATTGCTGAAGTTACCACCTGGTTCTCCATTCTCTCACTGTTGGCTCAGGTATGGGAGCTCTATTCAGAACCCAAACAAGCATAAGACTCACCTTTAAAGAGTGTCAACATGCAAACTGGGTGCTGCAATTATAAATATTAAAGGAAAAGTTGGATGTGCCATTCACCAAAACAAAACTAACAACAAAGTCAGAAGCAAAAGTCATCCTGGCTGTAAGCAGATAAATACAATGATCTTGCGCCAGGACTGAATTTGGTTCAAAAGGACTTATGCTAAAATAACACTCCTAGACTCCGGTGCACTTAATTTATTTTAGAGTAGTTTAGTTATTTTGAAGCACTATTTCACTGATTGTTCACTTTTGACAATTTCTGTGGCCTGGTAGAAGAGCCTGGTTTTCATGCCGATTCGTCTGTTCAGATGGCATTACTTGTTCCTGCAAAACATGTTCTGGTCTTTTTCCTGTTGGGCTGAATAATTAGTTGTCTGGGGACATAAGGTCTTTCCAGTTCCAATATTAATAAGCAGGAAAATGTCTGAACAATTCCCATGGCACCAATGAGAATCTTCCCCTCAATGTATAAATGCTTTATAGCAGTGGTTCTCAACCTTTCCAGATTACTGTACCCCTTTAAGGCATTGGATTTATGTTGTGCACCCCAAGTTTCATCTCACATAAAATTTACTTGCTTATAAAATCAGACAAAAATACAAAAGTGTCACAGCCTAAGTATCCTCTAAGCCGTGTGGCCGCGCAATTGCTTTTTAAGTCCCAGCGTCGACCTGCCGCGGCGCCAACCTGCCCCAGACTTGCCGCGGCCAGCTGGAGAGAGGAGTCCCTCCCTCGGCCCAGCTCAGCCCCACTGGAGCTGCTGTGGCCAGTCAGGGAGAGGTGCCTCTTCCCTGGCCCCAAGCTGCTGTGATGAGAGAGAGGTGGGGGGAGTCCTCTCTCCCCACTGCAGCCCCGGGGCAGCCTCCACCGCAAACCCCTCATCCCCAGCCCAGAGCCCCCCACCCATCTCTGCCCCAGCCCTGTACCTCCTCCTGCATTCCAAACCCCTCATCCCCATCCCAGAGCCCACACCCCAACCCTCTGCCCCAGCCGAGCCACCTCCCACACGCTGAACCTCTGCCCCCCCAAGCCAGAGCCCTCATCCCCCCACACCCCAACCCTCTGCCCCCTCCCACACTCCAAACCCCTCAGCCCCACCCCCACCACATGAATTTTGTTATGTGCACCAATATGGAGGTGATGTGTATATTGGTGCACATAACAAAATTCATTCGGCACATGCACATAAAAAATTAGAGGGAACATTGGTCACAGCACACTATTACTGAAAAATAGCTTACTTTCTCATTTTGTCTGTATGAAATTTTAGTTTGTACTGACAAGCTTGTGCTTTTTAAGTAGTCTATTGTAAAACTAGGCAAATCTCTCGATGAGTTGATGTACTCCCTTGAATACCTCTGTGTATCCCCAGGGGTAACGTACTCCTGGTTGAGAACCACTGCTTTATAGAGCATAATATAACTCTCACTATGGACACACAGACCAGATGAAGTAGCTAAATAAAACTGTTTACTACCAAACAGAGCAAGACTTCCACAATGTTATCCATTCAGTGACCTTGTCTTTGGTAAAAGTTTTTAGGTAAAGTTTACAGAGGGTTCTTCCCTTGTGCCAATCCAGGAAGGCAGCACTGGGCAGTGTGGCCTCCCTTTTCACATATTTACTTCATATTCTGTATCACAGACAGGTCCATGAACTCTAGATAGTGGATATTTAGTCACGCTTTGGAACTCCTAGGCAGACCAAATCTGGGAGTAATTGTTGCAGAGTAGGCTTTGCCCACCAGTATTGTTTTGGCACTATAGATGTTGAGCTGGACAGACCATTCTCCACAGAGCATTAGTGCCTTTTAACGCCTATTCTTAAAAATAAAACAAGCTACCTTTGAAAATTTTTTAAAAATCTGTTTTAAAGGCTCATAGTTAAACTTTCCTGAATAAAAAATTAAAAATTAATTGGGCTCACATTGTGCAGTGCAGTTGTAGAGAACACCTCTCTCTATCATGATAAGCTGGGATGTTTGAGATGACAGTCTGCACCTTGTTTATTTAGGATAGGGATATATCAGTGGAGGAGTGCTTTTTCCAGCCCTAAACCTTTAGGGCACCTTGAAAGGTTTAGATATGAATACGGGCTTTTCCTTGAAGATGTTGGGGGTTCTGAGCTTTACTTGGTGCTGCTTGTTTGGTAGCTTTTATTCTTGCTAATTATACATTTGTGATTTTTTTGGATTTTCTATATTGCTGCCTAGACGCCAGAATATGTAATTTCTTGGAAATACAAATTTCACAAAATGTAAATCAAGCATTCAATGAAAAAAAAAGAAAAAAAGAGTTGCTGTGTCCCTTTAACATGACAACAGCTTTTCATAAGGGTGCAGAGAAGTTTCCCTGCACATTTGAGGACAAGATTTGTATTTCTCTTAAAGGAATACAAGAACTCATGGGACATGACCAGGAAAGAAAAGAAAAAACAATCTGCAAGAAAAGGAAAGAAGAGTTGTGGAAAATTTGCTGGCCAGAAGATAAAGAAAAAGTAAGTCTCATTTATACATTGTTAGGTCTCCTGGTTTTGAGATGCTTATCACCACATCAGACTGATAAATATTACAATAAACAGTATAAACATGCCTGTAGCAGTCAAAATGGAAATAGCAAGTCCTTGCACAGCAATGTTTTAGTTATATGGAATACATAATTTAAATATGATTTATTCATTTTCTAATATAAATATTATTAGCTTACATAAACTTAACTTATAAAATAGCAAGAGAGGGAGGTCATGAGACTATCTGCAGAGATGTGGATTGCAGTAGACAGACATACTAGCCCTTCTATCACTAGGAACTTATTTTAAGAATAATAACCTCTTATATACTGCCTTTCATCTGTAGATATCAAAGTGCTTTACACAAAGGAGGTAAATATTATCCCCATTGTACAGATGAGAAAATTAAAGCATAGACAGGTTCAATAACTTGCCTGTGGTCCCCATCAGGCTAGCAGCCAAGGTCTCCTGAGCCTCACTCCAGTGCTCTATACATGATCCAAATGGCATGGAGGACACTGAATTTGGATAATGTAGAGAATTTTAATTAATAGACATGGAGGGACATAACTATGTGAAACTCTCTTTTAACTGAAATGGTGAAGTCCTTCCCTCTGTTAGACACTTGCACTGGTGTAACAAAAACTGATCTAGTTACACTGGTGCAAACCCCTAGAATAGATTAACTTAAACCAATTTAGCTTAATACCATACATTACTACAGTAAGGTAAATTGGTTGAAGTGGATTTAAAGTGATTTAAGTGCATCTATATTAGGGATTTGCTCCTCTGTAACTAAATGTTTTATAGATTCATAGACTCTAGGACTGGAAGGGACCTCAAGAGGTCATCGAGTCCAGTCCCCTCCCCTCATGGCAGGACCAAATATTGTCTAGACCATCCCTGATAGACATGGCAAAGCAAGGCCAATCCCCAACTAAATCATCCCAGCCAGGGCTTTGTCAAGCCTGACCTTAAAAACCTCTAAGGAAGGAGATTCCACCACCTCCCTAGGTAACCCATTCCAGTGTTTCACCACCCTCCTGGTGAAAAAGTCTTTCCTAATATCCAAACTAAACCTCCCACACTGTAACTTGAGACTGTTACTCCTTGTTCTGTCAGAAGAAGGAATAACTGTGTCAGAATCATGGGGGGGAATATTGCATTATATTTATAACACGAGCCATATATATATTTAACTATAATATGAAAGTTATGAGCTATTATTAAAATATTCACTTTGTTGCACGCATATACTTGTACCGATTAAAAAAAAAATCCTTAGAAAACACCAAGCTGGCCATGCTGGGAAGCCCAGGTGCCCTGTACCCTAAGATGTGGAGGGTTGGCATAAATCTTATAATTGGGAAAATTCAGCAAGTGTCTTCCCCATATTTATTTTCACAATGCGGGGAGGGGGGGGAAGGTTGTTAAACAAATACTTTTTAAAAGCAGTTTTATTTCTTCAGTTATAGGATATAAATTCACGTTTATTCAGCACCTTTCCCCCCAGTCCTTGTCACGGTACACGGGTATGGTGTGGCACTACACAGACCACAGGAAGAACAGCTGGGCAGCTCTGCTCACCCCACTGCCACACACGTGTGAGGCACCGACGCTACAGGGGGAGTGGAAGGACGGAGGCAGAACACATTTATCCCGGCTGGGAACCGGCCGGACAACACGGTTCATGGCCCTCCCCTTTAGAGCGGGGCTCGCCCCGCAGAAGGTCTGTGGAGCGCCCCGGGGTCGTACGGGGCTCCGTCGGGGAGGGCTCGGCTTTACCTTGGCAGGCATCCCCTCCTCGCTCGGCTGGGTGCGGGGGGCAGCGGGCCTTGCCCTTTCCGACGGGGGAGGGGGGCACCTTCCAGCACAGAGGCCCGGGTGCCAGCTCCGCAGCAGGGCATGGGTCTCCCCGAGCTGCAGGGCCAGGCGGGCAGCGCGACCCGGTCCGAGGCCTTGCTGGCGGCCTGCTCCGTGCAGGGACAGTGGGCGAGGAGCCCAGTGGCGCACCGCCAGAGCCGGGCCGGACTCCCTGCAGTACCAGCCCCTGGGCGGGAAGGGAGAGCTCAGCTCCTCCTGCCTATGCGCCGCCAGGCTCAGCAGTAGCGCCCGGGGGCTGCCCGGCCACCAGTGTGTGCCGCTGCCTCCGACCTGCCCAGCCCCGTACCTCTGCTCTGGGCTGGCGGCGGCGCTCCCACTTCCCGGCGGCGGGCGCCAATGAGGCGGCGCGTCCCGGCGGCGGCAGGCTGAGTGGGCGTGTGCGGGGGGCGGGCTGTGGGCGGCGGCAGCAGGTTTGGTTGTGTGTGTGTGTGTGTGTGCCATGGCCGGAGCCCAGTGAGAGTGGCTGACAATAGGAGCGAGCGAGCCTGAGCGCGACCCCGACACAGCCGGGACCCCTCGCTTCCCAGCCAGCCACCGGCAGAGGAGGCCATCCGCGCCAGCCGCAGCGCCCCTCGCCGCGCCCGGCCGCCCGCCCTACCGCGGCTCCTCTCAGCTCGGCCCGCGCTCGGCCGCCCCTCCGCAGGCCCCTCCGCAGGGCTCCGCCGGGAATGTGAGTGAGGCAGCAGCCATCGCAGGCAGGGGGCCGCGCCGAGCGCACGGGACTGAGCGGAGCCCGAGCAGCTGCCTGCCCCTGAACCCGCCGCCAACGCCGCCCTGCGCTGAGGAGGCCGCCGCCGCCGAGGCCTACAGGCTCCTGCAGCTGCAGGGACAGAGCCCGGCGCGCACAACGCTCCGGCCGCTGCCGCCAAGCCCAGCTCACTCCGCCTTCTCCTCCTCGGCTCTGAATTCTCTGCCAGGAGGGTCAAGGTAACTTCACCCCAGCCCCGAGTGGGCAGCGACCTGGCCGCGGCGTGGGGGAAGGGCTGGGGGAAAGCGGGAGGGTCGGGGAGCGCTAGAGAAGATGGGGATCACGGGGCGGGGGTGGTAAAGGACAGAGTCCAGCTGTGTTACTTATCCCCTGGTGGATGGAAATGACATCCAACAACACCCGTCAGAATGCAGCTAATTACACCCCGGCTTTCACTGAGTGCTTAGTGGAGGCGCTTGCTCCTACCTAGCCGCTTGCAGTGACATCCATCGGTATTTTTACATTCACTCGCGTTTCCTCGTATTGTTGTCCCCAGCGGTGACAGTGTCTATTGTATGTCGCTGTGCATTTACCAAAATACTTAAAAATTTCCCGGGTTATAAATAAACACTTTCGTATTGAGAAAGCTATAGTTATAAATGCAGTTATCCATCACTTGTGCTGCGCTCAATAAATAACCTTATACCCCCCCCCCGAAATAGTGTTTTTCAGTGCATTTAAATGATCATTTAGGAATGTGAAAAAGTGATTAGTGTTTACTGTAATGTTGTTAATGCTGGATGTAGTCTTGTTGAATTAGAATTAGAATTTAATAATTTATAAATCAGGTGAGAGAAACTGTTCATAAATTTACAGCAGAGAAGTGTGGGTAAAGTGTCTTGCTGACAGAATGATCCTGCAGTTTGAGTGATCTGCTGTAGTCTTTGTCCACTAATGTTATTAGCAATTTCATTTTGAGACTGTACAGATATTTCTGGATAAATGGTTAGTTTTTTTTAATAGTTACACATGACAAGGAGATGAAAACATTTTGCCTCATTTAAAAAAAATAGGACTAACAAATCTAGAATCTAAGTGTCATTTTTTGTTGATATTTCCAGAGTCCTGCTGACATAACAGGTAATTTTTTGTGTTTGTATATTTTGAGGGACTCTTCTCTCCCCTTACTTAGGAATCACAAATTGGTTTGTTGAGGTGAAAGTATATATCCATTTCTCCATATAGTTTGTCTGACTTTCCCATGAATCTTGCATGGGGCCTTGATGCCATGGTGATGTTGGCATCTGTTACAATTGGTAAATAACATCTGTTTCAAGTATAAAAGTGTGTTGCTCATAGTCTATTAAATGTAGGATGTATTATTTGGGATGATAATGAAGCCACACCTGAGGGAAAAATTAAATTGATACAATAAGGATTGTTTTTAGGTGATGCCAGCTTCACTGTCCAATATCAAGGGATTCCTCTTGGTTCCTTGAGAAGTTGTGTATTTTATATTTTCAGTAGACTCTGTGTGTGTGTGTGTGTGTGTGTGTGTGTGTGTGTAGTAATATATACACACACACGATAAATGAAACCTTCTCAACTTAAAGATGTGGAAAATTAACAACCCTCATCTTTCTAAACATACATAATTTAAAAAAAAATCATACTTATAAAGTATTTTGCATAATAAGAAAAATCCAAATAATGTTGATTTAAATTATTTATGAATCAGATCAGTCCCCAAATACTTTGACAAAATGAGTACTTCAAGGTGAACTGCAGGTTGCAAAATCATCTCCCATTAGCAATAGTAGTCCTTTAGATATTTGGAATCAATGGACATTGAGTGCTCTCAGGACCTTCCAAAAACATGCTCTAAGGCCCTGATCCTGCAAACATTTACACACATTTAACTTGACTAATGTGAGTAGCCCCACTGATTAAAGTTGAACACATGTGTAAGTGTTTGCTGGATCTGGGGCTAAATCTTTTTTTCTTAAATCTGTTCTTTCCACTTCACTGAGAAAATGTATAACTTTTTTGACAGAGAAGGTAAGCCTGGTAAAAATCAAGAATTTGGTTGTTGAATTAACCATTTTAGTATATTCTTTTAATTTCCCAGAATTAGCCTGGAATATCCTCCAGAAATATTAGAAAGTGAAAAAGGAATGTGCAAAGAGATTTGCAATATGAAAGCTGGATTCTCTAGAGTGGAGAATAAATAAGTGACAGGCTACAGGCTTATCTACACTTAAAAGGTAGCAGTGGCGCAGCTGCATCATTACAGCATGCACTGTAGTGCTTCAGTGAAGATGATACCTACACTGATGGGAGGGCGTCTCCCGTCTGAGTAGGTACTCCACCTTCCCGAGAGATGGTAGCTATGTTAACAGGTGAGCTGAGCCGCGCCCCCCCCCCCCCCTTTGACATAGCGCTGTCTACTCGGGAGTTAGGTCAGTTTGTCTACTCGGGAGTTAGGTCAGTATAACTGTATCCTCATGGAGGTGGATTTTCCCCCGAGGGACGTAGTTACACCAACATAACTTGCTAATGTAAACCAAACCTAAGTCTATCAAGTCTAGTGAACTTTCTTTGGTTTTAAAGCATAGCAGTATATTTTAGTGAACTTTTTGTTTCCACAAAACACACACCTTTCTTTATGGATAGTAAACTGAATTTTATTTCTGTTTTGAATTGTCCTAGAAAATAGTTGTGACTTTAATATTAAAATTCATTATTATTTTTGAGCTCCTAGAAGTGTGCATAGTGCTTTGTGAAAACAAGTAAAAGAGATTTTGTGACCCAAAAAGCTTATGATCTAAGGTTTTGATCCTGCAGACAGGTCTACACAGGCATATTCCTGGACCTCTGTCGAGTTCCATAGACATCAACTGATCTCGATGGATACACAGGTGTCTACATGTGGATCTGATTGCAGAATCAGTGGCTAAATTCAGACATAATGTAACAAGTGAGGACCATAGACAAAATAGGGGAGAGGATGAACAATAATTACAATAGTACCATGAAGCTACTTCGTAAGACCTATATGTAAATTGATGGACCATCTCTCTTTGATGTCAGAAGTGGGTTTTTAGGAGGGATGTGAATGAGAAGAAGGAGGTGGCTCTTGACAAACACATTTAATCTTTACCTATTTTCATCCACTGGGAATGTATTTATAATGTGTGTTTCCCTTCAGTAGGGATATGTCCTCAGCACCAACCACTCCTCCGTCAGTGGATAAAGTAGACGGATTTTCTCGGAAGTCCGTCAGAAAAGCCAGACAGAAGAGATCACAAAGCTCCTCCCAGTTTAGGTCTCAGGGCAAGCCTATTGAATTAACTCCTCTGCCTCTTCTAAAAGGTAAGGTTCAAGATCAGTTGTATGATTAAAACATTTTTATTTTACAGCAGACATCTAAATTGTGCTAAAAACTATTGTTGTAACAGAAATTTGAGGGGGAATTTGGCCTCTGAGTGAGAAACAGTTCATGCCATACAAGTATTTATTAAGCTAAAAAAATTGGCATCAGTTAATATATTTAAAATGAAAACTTGCATCTATGAATGGATATGTGTTTACTGTTTGCAATACTTGTGGAAGTTCTGAATGCTAATACTAACAGAACCATTGCTGGCTGTCTGAAGGCACACAAGCTTTTTGCAAATATTTTAGGTTATCAACGCTTAACATTTAATCCAATGTGGCAATAGTTTTTAAATGAGATGATTCATTAGCAGGTGTGAACAATATTAATTTAGCATTGAATTCTGTGATCTGCCAAGCACTTTCTGCAGGGAGCTAAGTGCTCTCAACTCCCACTGATTTTTAGTACAAGTCTGGGGGGGCAGAGCAGTTCTTAGAATCATGTCCTTGCAGGGAAAAGGACCTATATATTTTTCATTTTGTCATTCATTCAGCCTTCCAAAACTGTTATTGAAGAGGCTTATGTGATCAAATGCAGATTTCTACATTTTATCATTCTCCTTTTTGTTTTACAAGCGAAGAAAATAAGTACAGTTAACTAAAGTTAATATTCGAGTTGGTCATTGTGGTAGTTGATATTGGAGTTCTTAATTCTGGATATTGTCAAGGGTTAGTAGGTTTTGGCCTATCATCTTTGTTTGGTTTTGCAGATATGTACATTTCCCACATCCCTTCTCTCTACCTGTCTGATACTTTTGTATTTAGTCAAAGTATTTAAATATGTAAAGGACCTGCTCTGATCAGAATCCTGCCACCGTGTTTGTTCACAAGAATGGAGTAGACACATGAAAAATACACACATATATATGCATCTGTCAATTGAGAGAAAAACAGGTTGCCTGGATTCTTCTTAGTGGATTACTCAACGGAGTTGTCATTTTTGTAACATGTCTGAGAACTTTTTTTGTGGAGCTACTAGGGTTTTTAACATCAGGAGCCAAATAACCTTTTTTTAAAATAGTATTTCAATGGTAGGTTAAATTTTCGGCCTGTCATCCTTGACACTTTCCTTTTGAAATACCTACGGCTCTGGTTCATAAAGAGGGACAATTTACCC